GCGCGCGGTATGCGCGACGTGGGCTGACCAGCTGCCTCGCTCTTGGATTTTCAACACGGGCCCGCTGCGCTGTTTTTCGACAAATCCGCACGCTTTCGTCCTCGACGGTTCGCGCCCACGATTCAGACGACTTTCGAAAACAGCCAGCACAGCTGGGACAGGGGAGAGGGACAAAGTTGTCTATCGACTATCTTCCTCGCACAGCGGCGTTTCCGCCCTCCACTCGCCCCCCCCCCCTCTCGATCACACACACTCTCTCTCGTCCTTGCTCGTACGTACTCTTCTTCCACGAATCGACGATGCTATCCTCTCCTGCCTCGCTTTTCTTCTCTCGTTTCTTTTTTCGAGCTCCTCGCTCCCCACGCCACGGGCCGCTTTGTGCGACGCTTTTGGTGCGCGGCTCCCCGTTCCACGCACAATGCCTGCGAGGCGGGTCGGTCCGAAAATTGCCGATGATGCCTCTGAAATTTGGGCTTGTAGACGTTATACTTGCCTTGCAGATCGTTGTTTTTCTCTTTCGGGACTCCGCGCAGAGTCCGTGTTTTACCTGAATCACCTGTTTCCCCCGCGACACCCTAGCGCGCCCGAGCGTCGCCGCGCCGTTCCCATTTGGTATTGGGCGCACGCAGCTCCTTCGCTCTCTCATCACGCCCCCGAGAGCAAACGAAAGCGGCGCATCCGTCGGCGCCCTCTCAGCGCAGGTTGGCATGCCGCTTTGTCTGCATTTCAGGAGTCGTTCTTCCAATGGTCGTTCGGAGTGGAGCAGAGCGGCAGCATGGGCGTCGTGGACGTGGCGAGCGGCCAATCGGCGCTGTTCTTCCCACGGCTGCCCCCCGAGCACGCCACCTGGATGGGCAAACTGGCCACTCTCGAGGAGCTTCGCCAGATCTACGCCGTCGACGAGGCCTACTACTGCGAGGACGTCGCGCGGGTGCTGCGCCGCAAGGGGGCCAGCCTCCTGCTCACTCTGGTAACGGCGCCGCTGTCGCTTGCCGATCGCCTGTGCGCGAAGCTGCCTCTCGTCGGGCAGCTCCGATCGTCTCGTTCGCCGGCCCGTCGAACGCGCAGATTTGGCTGCCGGGCGCATTATCGGTCGGTTCGGCAAACAAACTCGACGCCGTGACGACGCCCAAGTCGGTTGGCGATTGCGACACGCGCGCAGATGGCGGCTGGCCGATAAGAAGACGGGCGGCGGCGGCGGCGGCGACACACGTGTAAGAACAAAACAAACAGCGCGCGCGGCGGCGACGACGGCGGCTCTATTTTCACAATTACACACGCGGTCGAGCGTGAAATATGCGCCTTTGAGAGTAAAAAACGGTGCGGCGCGTCGCTACGTGCAGCAAGCCAATTGAAACGGGCGTTTCCCAGCTTTCCAGCGGCGGCTGCTCCAATTGGCTGATCCAACCTGCACGGCTCAATCGTTAACTTTTTTCCTCGTTCGCGCAACGACTTGTTTGTTTCAGCCGAAAGTATTTTCAAAGGCCAAGTCTGGGAATTTGTTCCGTCGCGGACGGGAGCGCGAAAAAACGAGGAATAAAAGGGGTAAAGCGTCGCCAAGTTCTGCGCGAGATCGAACCTCGTACGCAGCGCGAGCAGGTTGGTCTCTGGCAATTCATCGCGCACATCTCCAGTCGGCCACGCGCTCGTGTCGATAGATGAGCGAAAGAAGAGGATAAAAGAGATCGGCTGGCCGGGGAGAGGCGCATAGTGCTCGCTCGCGAACGGTGCCAAGGCCGGAAAGCACTCGCGCGCCAATCCTAAAGACACGTCCCGCGCGCATCGACCGGCCGATTCGGCGACGTAGGGCGCAGCGACCAAAACAAGCTCCATGCCCAAGTTGCGCAGCTCGCGAGCCGTGCTCTCGCTCGTCTCCCGGCAGCAGCCGCAAGCGTCGACGAGTTGCCCCATATGCTCGCGGAGACGCAGCGTGTGCGCCGGTCGATATTAATTTTTGCTCGGGCGTCCGCCCTGCAAAACGCAAGCGCACAGTTCGTCGTCGTCGTCGTCGTCGTCGTCGTCGTCGTCGTCGTCGTCGTCGTCGTCGTCGTCGTCGTCGTCGTCGTCGTCGTCGTCGTCGTCGTCGTCGTCGTCGTCGTCGTCGTCGTCGTCGTCGTCGTCGTCGTCGTCGTCGTCGTCGTCGTCGTCGTCGTCGTCGTCGTCGTCGTCGTCGTCGTCGTCGTCGTCGTCGTCGTCGTCGTCGTCGTCGTCGTCGTCGTCGTCGTCGTCGTCGTCGTCGTCGTCGTCGTCGTCGTCGTCGTCGTCGTCGTCGTCGTCGTCGTCGTCGTCGTCGTCGTCGTCGTCGTCGTCGTCGTCGTCGTCGTCGTCGTCGTCGTCGTCGTCGTCGTCGTCGTCGTCGTCGTCGTCGTCGTCGTCGTCGTCGTCGTCGTCGTCGTCGTCGTCGTCGTCGTCGTCGTCGTCGTCGTCGTCGTCGTCGTCGTCGTCGTCGTCGTCGTCGTCGTCGTCGTCGTCGTCGTCGTCGTCGTCGTCGTCGTCGTCGTCGTCGTCGTCGTCGTCGTCGTCGTCGTCGTCGTCGTCGTCGTCGTCGTCGTCGTCGTCGTCGTCGTCGTCGTCGTCGTCGTCGTCGTCGTCGTCGTCGTCGTCGTCGTCGTCGTCGTCGTCGTCGTCGTCGTCGTCGTCGTCGTCGTCGTCGTCGTCGTCGTCGTCGTCGTCGTCGTCGTCGGTCGTCGTCGTCGTCGTCGTCGTCGTCGTCGTCGTCGTCGTCGTCGTCGTCGTCGTCGTCGTCGTCGTCGTCGTCGTCGTCGTCGTCGTCGTCGTCGGGCACATCGCGCTTCATTGCTTATTTCGCGCGCGTCGCTCGGTCGTCGGACGGCGAGCTTCGCGCGTGCCTCGATTCCACGAGTGCCTTTGCGAAAGCGACCTTCTATTTTTACATTTTCCATAACGATTTGCGAATCACGCGCGTACTCGCTGGCCACCCGAGTCGTCGAACAGAATCGAAGCGACGAGGCCCGACCGCGAGGCGTCCCCGGCGCTACGGTTAGCCGATACTGCGCGGTGGAAGTGCAGTGACGCACCGTGCGCTCGGAACGAACGACACAGATGCGCGCGCCAAAAAAATCACCTCGCCGCCGCCTCTTGGGATTTGGACGTGCGCATTATGTGCGTCGCGCGAGCGCAAATATTTGAAGAATCGCAGCGGAAATAAAGCCTCGATGCACAAGCTCTGCCTCTATAGGCTCGACGAATATAACGGCTGGACAATCGTGAATAGTAGCTTTGCTCTCATTTCGTACAATTTTTTTTTGCCTTGCTCCGTTCTGCCGCTCTTCGGCGCTCGAGTGCGCCTTGGAATGAAACACAGCCTTCGCTAAGATTAAGTAAATGGCTCAATTGTCGCCGAGTGCCTAGAAATAAAATAAATCGTCGCGTCACAGTTTCGCTCGCTACAATAGCATTTTTAATGACGCGGCGCCGATCTGCGTTGTCCGCGCGAGAGTTGTCGTCCTTTCTTCTCCATGCATAGGTGATGCGATGCGATGCGATGCGATGCGATACGAGCTCAAGGAATGACATGTAAATTGCGTTGGATAGTCGTACGCTCTCTGTGAGCGTAAATCGAGGCGTAAATTTTCGCTGTTCCGAATCTTAGATTGAAGACTCGACGGAAGAGAAGCGCAGCTCCGATCAATCGTGCACTCTTATGAATCTCCATTGAGATAACGCTTCTGAAAATATCGCGAATCGCGTCTATTTTGCGCACACTCGTACAGTCGCGCTCGCTACTGGGAATTATTCCGGGAAAACTCGTTTCGGCCCGGTGTAAATTTAACGGCATCAGCTGCGCGACGTTACGTGCGCGCGCGCAATCGGCAATTGCAGTATTGCACACGAAGAGGAATTCGTATTGTCCGGAGCAATACTTGCTCTTAATCGAAAGTTGACACTACTTTTGAAAAAGTAATTAAGTCGAAGCGAAGTAAGCGGGCGGGGGGGGGGGGGGGGGGTAAACGAGTATCGAAGAAAGAAATGGCAGAAGCGGTGAAAGAGATAGCAACAGCACAGAGGATTCCCATCGGTCACCCATTCGCGTAACAACCGAGCTCAACGCGTTGCTTTACTTTGGTGATCAAACGAGAACCGGTGTATATAGCCCTCGACGAATCGTTCCGATCGTTGGACGAACACACTCGCGTGATATAAAATGCCGAGATTGTTACGAATTCTGAGTCTCCGACATCTTATACACCAATAATGCTGTTGCCAGGAGAGCGAGAGCTGAATTATTCGCTGGACGCGTGAAAACTTGCAACGCAGTGTTCCCCCCACGGCTCCGGCAATTACGTAAATGTAGTCACTTTTCACTTGGTGAGTCGACGCATCATTGTCACGTGCCTCTTTAATAAGTCGCGCCAGATAAGACCGACTGCCAACAACATACAACGCGTTTAGTCTCTCGTTACACTCTTCCTTATCAGCACTCTGCCTCCCTCCCTCGTGCGACTGGGCAATGTTTGTTGTTTTACAGCGACGAGTTGCTTTGCGGGGCGCGCGCGCATCGACTAGCGTGCAGCGACACGAAAAGGACAAAAACTCGCCAAGCCGCGTGCACTTATGCCGGGAGCGAGTCGCGCGCGTATAAATCAGCCGCTAGGACGAATCCACCACGTATATCTGTGCTGTTGAACTCGCGCGGCGTCGAGTCACGCATGCCAGCCACCATCGGAGCCCGTACGTGGACTTCGTAAAAGTCGCCTCTGCGCACGGCCAACGGTTAAAGTTGGCTGTTACGACGCGATCGAGCAAATGGACAAGGCGGCGCGGCGATTCACGTGACAACGACACCACCTTTCGGTTCGAGCGATTTTAAGATAAAGCAGGAATCGCGTCCGCAGGCACGCGATCCGCTCGCAACAATGACGAGCCTCTCCAGTCTCATCCTCTCATCAGCGATTCGACGCTTGTTGCAGCACGGAGGTCAACAGCGATAGCGGCTTGACGAGCAAGGAGGCAACGTTCGACGGCATCGACAAGTGAGATATAACGCACGTGCATCGCAGCAGCGTCGCGCAAGTCTCGCACGAGGAGCTGCTATTTCCTCGGGGCTAATCTCTCTGCGTCCCGATATAATACCACTTGCGACGTTCTCTGTTGCAGGTTCGAGGTGAACAACGAAATACTCTATCCGGAGATATGCGAGTGGTGAGTGTTGTTGCGCATCGAGCTCTTGCACTTTGTTTTTTTAACTTAACTTTTCTACGTTTCGCTTGTTCTTGTCACGTACGCGACGATCGCAATGCCACGTATGCTTTTTCAAGCGCACTGCCGCCGCGATAATGCTCACGCGATGTTTCCCTCGAGTGCGCGAGTGCGCACCCGTGCCTAAAAAAGACGCACACGCACACACGCGGAAATTTATGCTTTTGCCGTACAGACCTTTACAGCGCGATTCAATTCAAATTGACACGTCAATGTGGGTCGCCGGCTCTCGGTTTCTTTTTCGACTTCTCTCGTCCTGTTGCATTCAATTTGCCGTCCGCGCAGATGCGGAGAGGTGCCCATAAGTCGTTCCCTCGCAGTCTTGTCGACTCATTAGCAATCATCCTTGCTAATCGCAGGAATGTCCTCTTCGCCGGCAGAGCAGCGCTCAACGGAAAAACACGCGACGATGTCACATCGCAAGGATGAGACAGTGGCAGAGCGAGATTTACATTTGCTGTTTCACACGTGTTCGAGACGCAGCGTGAAACTTCGCGCAGCGTTCGATCGTTTCTCGTCGCGACTTTCAAATTGTTTCCGCAACGAGGCGCAGCATGCCATAAATATTGATAATAAAAAATGTTACGCGAGAGCCTGCGGTAAACACAACGCGGACGCAACTAACAATATAAGACGCCGGGGAAAGAAGACGGAAGTGTCTCGCACGAGGCACAAGTGGAACGGAATGAGCAAGAAAACGTCAACAGAGAGAAAGAGGGGGGGGGGGGGGGGGGGTGAGAGGTTATAATAAGTCGCGGCACGTTGCGATACCCGCGTGCACTTGTGTACGTCTATGTGTGGCGTTGTGCAACTGGCATCATCATCAGCAGCAGCAGCAGCAGCAGGAGCGAACGCGGTATGCCTTTGTTTACTCGCGACTAGGAGTGCAATGCACCGCGCTACTTTCGACGGGCTGCATTCTGCGTTTAGTACGCTGCACCGGCTCTCTAACCCAGTTCGTTCGGTATATTTGCCTCTCGATCGATTTCATCTGTTCTCACTTTCGAAGCCGTTTTTTTCTTCCTCGATCGGCAGCTTTTTAATCGACGGCAAGAGTATACAATGTGGTGCCGCGTTTTGGCCTGCGACGAAATCCGGTTTGTCGTTCGTCCAATTAATGCTTCAAACGGCACGCGGACACGTCGTGGTTTTTTTTCTTATTTGTCTCCTATTCCATTGACCGCGCGGAGACATTGCTTTTCTGATCGCGAACGAGAACGACGACGCTCGTCTATACACGTGCGCGCCACGGGGAAAGAGAAAACATTTGCTTTCTCTGCTGCAGGTCAACGCGTGCGTCGAAATAGTCATACCGAAAGAAATAAAATAAAAAGAAGTGCGTTTTAGCGAGGGATTACGCTTTGGCCGAGAGCTGAGCGCAAATATTGACTAGGAAGTCGGATCGCGAATAATTGATTGCTCGACGTTTGGGAAGGTTACGCTTATTTTGCTAGACGCGCACGCAATACTTCGCGCAGCCAATGAATAGCGATAAAGGCTGCGTTTCCCCTTCTCCTCTCTCTCTATCTCGTGACAGTGAATGCCATTATAAAGTTTTTGAAAAGACGTCCGAAAGAGATCTATTAGGGGAACGCGAGAGGCAACGCCAGCGGTTATTTCACCTAGCGCCAAAGAGAAGCGAAACTCAACGTGATCGTTGCACGCAACTTTTATTTATCTCGCTCGACCAAAGTCTCCCGCAAATAATTGGAGCTCCGTTGGAAAATAAACCAAAGTCTCCGTATATAATTGACCCGTCCTACTTTTTGCCCGTGCGCGCTCACGCGATTCGATTCATTCATACTAAACAGTGTAAAAATATCAACAGACCGTCGCGCTCAAGAGAAGGCCACTCGGGTGATTTGCGTGCCGCCATCCATCGGCGTCATGGCGAAGCAGCGAGGAATCTTCTTTACCGACGGAGTCGATGTAAACAAACGTATCTCATCGCGAGCTTGTTATCAACGTTTTCGCAAAAAGACATTTTTATCAAACATGTTTTGTTTGTTTTCACTGATCATTTCAAAGCAGAAGTGACGTGAATATATTTTTGAAAGAATACATGTAATTTTTCGTAAAACACTCGAGTTACGTAATCCAGAAAAAGTACAACGATTAACTCGGTGGACTATTAAAATTATATGTAAACTGTCGAAGAAACGGTGGTCAGGGTGGTTCAGTCAATAATGGGTCTCAAAATGGAACTGTGCGCGCAATACTAAAAGATGATAAGAAGATTGGCCAAGTTGCCGTTGACACCAAAGTCACGTCTGCTGATTGCGAAATTTAGTGGATTGATCGAGCGCGATGAGAAGCAGACAAGAAAACGTATTAACCTATTGCGCACAGAAATGTTTGTGCAAGATGGTTTTGAGATTTATGAGCTGCCTATAATTATCAATGTAGCTTGCGATTTGAAAAGCATTTTTGGTAACGCTGACGTGAGAGATTCGAGCAACGCCGAACGCTCGGATAGCGGCCAGTCATCCAATTTGAGTCGAATCGACGGTTCAAGCGCGTCGCCGAGTCGCGAGAAGCTCAGCAATGAATCCAACGATAGCCTGCCCGTATTCCCTTCCGAATTGGAGTTTTCGAGGATTCTGGAGCTCGAGCACGCTTTTCGCGAGATCGACAGCTCTTCCGCGGGGAGCGCGAAGAATCCGGAACTGAGCGGTAAAATCGCTGTGCAACACTTGAGAAAAGTCGTCGACTTTGAGAAGAAGAATCGCCGATTCAAAAGGTTCATGCCTGCGTTCGACAGAGACAGTTTCATCTTGCACATGCTCGATTCCGTTGTCAGTGGCTCCGACAGTGGACTAATAATCGATGCTCTCCAAGTACTACTGAGAGACCGATTCAACTCGGCTAATAATCCTTACAAAGATATGCTCACCGACCAACTTCTGATAAGAGCAACGAGTGGGAATTTCAGCGTTGACCAACTGATAAGCATTATCAAGATTTTGTACGCTTTCAACGACACGAAATACCGCCAAGCGATAGATTATTTATGGATTGGTTTTGTTATCAAGCAGGAAGATATAAGCATCGATCAGTTGGTCTCGCTACTCAAGCTGCTAAAGTACTTGGCAAGGAGTAAAAACAGAATGCAAATGCTGCTGGAGAAAAAGCTGATGGAGCATTACGAGGAGATGTCGGTAGCGCAAGTCAACGATTTGCTAAATGCGCTCGCTAATAATTTGCAATCGGCTGTTGCGCTGAAATGTGCGAGCAAATGGGCGTACGCGCACCTCGCGACCGCTTCCAAGTACGATTTGATGGAATTTTTAGAGAATCTGACGACCAACAGATACGTCGATGCGACGCTCGTGGAAGCCATCGAAAAAACTTTAACGATGAAAAACGTGAAAAGCAACGACTACGCTCTGATGGTAGCCGTTGCGATTTACTGCTCCACTGTTCATCTGAGAAACGGAGGCATACTTAATAAAGTCGTAAAGTATCTGGAAAAACACGCAAAGAACGTGCCCGTCTCTCCGTTTATGAAGATGATCTCTGCCTTCGGCACATTAAATTTCAAATTGGAAAAGAAGGAGAGCATCTGGGAGATATTCGAGATAAAACTGAAGCAAGAGTTTTCCCATTTGCAAGCCGACGCGATATTGAGCACTTTCTTGTCGTGCGCCTACACGAGCAAATATTTCCCCGAGTTCATGACGAAGATCCTCGCCCCGGAGTTCTTGCAGCAGTTGGATCTGCAAATCCGTGAAATCGAGAGCGCGAAGTCGTTGCGGGAGCAGCTCTACTTGCTGGACACCGCGATGAGCGTCGAGTGCTCGAGCTACCTGGGCCCGCTATTGATCCGTCGCCGCGACAGGTATTACGCGGCGATGCACCCGAAAATAGAGAGCGCTCTGAGCCAAATCAGGGACGAGCTCGCGCGTTTCGCCAACGAAGACGAGGCGATCAGCGAGCGCGTGCTCGTCGACGAGCTGTCCAACTCTCAGCTGTATCTCGTGCACGCCGTGATCCACAAGAGAGCGGCGGCTTCGGCGCCTCTTTCGAGGCTCGATCGGTTCAGCGCGAACAGGCGCGGAACGACCGCGGTTCTGCTGCTGCTGCCCGAGCACTACTGCTGGAACTCGACCGAGCTGACGGGTCAGCAAGCGATGAAAGTCAGGCACTTGACGAAATTAGGCTTCCGCGTGGCGCTTCTCGATTGTCGAACTCTGCTGGCGTTGCGGGAGAGGCCCGCCGAGGCGCTCAGGGAATACTTGACGAGGTCTTTCCGGGGCAGCCGGCGAGCTTCCTCGGCAGCGGATCTCCGGTGAACGCTAATAACGAAGAGTTTCGTCCCCGCGGCCGTTTCCTCTGTTTCAGCCGAGTCGTCAAGACGGCCAAGGAAATCGAGGTGATGCGCTACGTGGCCAAAGTCAGCTCGGACGCCCACCGGATCCTCATGAAAATCGTCCGCCCGGGCATGTGGGAATTCCAAGCCGAGTCGACCTTTCAGAATTACGTGTACACCGTCGGCGGCTGCAGGCACGTCTCCTACACGTGCATCTGCGGCAGCGGCCAGAACGCCGCGATTCTGCACTACGGACACGCGGGAGCGCCCAACGACAAAATGATCGGTCCCGGCGACATGTGGTGAGTTGCCGTCGGCGTCGGCCGAAGCTCCGCCGATGCGCCACTGGCACTGATCGCTTTTCCCTCGCAGCTTGTTCGACATGGGGGCCAACTACTGCGGATACGCGGCCGACATAACCTGCAGCTTCCCCGCCAGCGGCAAGTTCAGCGACGACCAGAAGCTCGTCTACAACGCCGTGCTCGACGCGAGAAACGCGGTAATGAGCGCTGCCAAGCCCGGAGTCTTGTGGACGGACATGCATTCGCTGGCAAACCGCGTGACGCTGGAGGCCCTGAAGAAGGGCGGCCTGCTCAAGGGCGACGTCGACGACATGACGAAGGCTGGCTTGAACGCCGTCTTCCAACCGCACGGCCTGGGCCATCTGCTCGGCTTGGACGTTCACGACGTAGGCGGTTACCTGGCCGGCCAGCCTCCGAGACCCTCCGAGCCTGGCCTCGATAAGCTCAGATTTGCGCGTCGGCTGCTCGCTGGAATGGTGCTGACGATCGAGCCAGGCTGCTACTTCATCGACTGGGTGAGCCTCGATCGCGACGGCGGCGTCAAGCGCGATTGCGCAACTCGCGGGCGTACAATTATATCGCGTGAATCGCATGGACGATCCGGCGTCGCGGTGCCGCTCGTCGATCGTCATTTCGTCATTTCGTCATTTCGTCATTTCGTCATTTCGTCATTTCGTCATTTCGTTTCGGCCCAAAGCATACTACATCATTCGTCAACGATGGCGCGCGAGTCGTGAAATAAACCGACCTAACTCGACTTGCCTTTGCGCGTTGCAGCTGCTGGACAAGGCCGAAAAGGACGAGCAGCAGAGCAAGTTCATCGTGTGGGAGCAGCTCCAGCGCTTCCGCGGCTTCGGAGGTGTGCGCATCGAGGACGACGTGCTCATCACCGAGGACGGCGCCGAGAACCTCACCGACGTGCCGCGCACGTAAGCACCTTAAACGCGCATTCATCATTCGACTCGCGTGGACAGTTGAATAAACTTGACGGCGCGCGAGCTCCACCCGCGGCTTTTCTCTTTTCGGATTTGTATGCCCTCGTCGGACTACGCTCCGCATCCGTTTGCTTTTAATTAGAGTGGACGTTGGAGTGTGCCGCGCGCGCGCGCGCGCGCGCACGCGTTAATTTCGAATTCTGACGGAATGCCTAATTGGCCGCTGCTGCGTAATTGCTTTTTTTTCGTCGGGATCTAGATAGAATTTTTTATCCTATTTGCGTCACGAGTACTACGCTTGATTTGGAAACTTCTCTACGCGCGGGTGGCTCATCTCTTTTTCAATAATTAATCGAAAGGCAAATTCGATCGCGTAGCTCGTTAGAAAAAATCTTTTTCCAATCAATACGTCGTTCGATCGGGATTATCATCTCAGTTGACGTCAAAATTGAATTAACGTGATAACTAATGCAGCTCTCCATCTTTTGATGCTTTCGTAGTTGCGCAGTCAAAGAATAAAAACGTCGTAAAGATAAACGACGAAGAAAAAGCTCATTAACCGGCGATTATTTACGTCTCGATGTTGGCATAATGTCCAAAGGAAAAAGATCTGCTTTGGCGAGTCTGCACGGAACTTTTTCCGCGAGCCAAAGCCACCTTGTCATCTCTCTCACGTCTGTTTGACCGATTGCGCGTTTTTGCGCATTTCCAGTGTCGAGGAGATCGAGGCCTGGATGACGCCCAGCCAGGACGGCAAGGAGCCTTTTCAATCGTACACAAGGTTTTTAACGAGACAAGGCCGTGGTTGTTAGAGGACCGACATTCCTTGGCAAACGGAAATCCATTCCTTTTGCTGCGGCGATTCACGTTATTTTCATAAGGAGTAAACAGCCGACTGCCATGATGGGATTCCGAGATTTCGCCCTTTGGCCATTATAATAAAACTATTTGTATGTCCGAATGAGATGTTTTTAATACTTGTTATATACTGTATACGTCTATTTTGATGAAAGCACAACATTAAATGATTTTGCAATCAATTTGCTTAGTGACGTAGAGAACATAAATCCCCTGTGGCATTTCCTGCTCTGACCGCCTCATTGCTAAAGCGAGAATTTAGGCGAGCTTCCTGGTCGCATGATAGATTGGGACGAGCATTTACATAACTTGGTTGCGAAATATTTTGTTGGACTCGTTGCTTTTTATTCTCCGTCGAGATGTCAAATTGATCCTATGTTTCGATAAATCTTTTTCCTCAAATTATCTTCTTCAGTCTTGACTTCTTGTGTTTCACCTACAGATTGCAATATCTCCAATGAGATAGTAACTCATGTGCGCGACTAAGGCTGACGTAAAATTGCTACAATTTGAATCCCAAGTCGTCGAAAAATATCATCTGCTCTCGGCACTTGCGTTGAAAGGGATAAAAAACTATTGCCTATCATAAATACCACGTTTAGTTTGTCATCAATGAGCGGAAAAAGTAAATTACTGATTCAAGCTACAAATCAATTAATTTTTTTTCACGCAAATGCGGCAAAAAAGCATTGAAATCTTGTGGAACGATTAGACTTTCAATGTGCACGAAAAGAAAAAACTGCACTACTTAGCGTTAGCGCGAACGTTTACCTCGAGCGAGACGAAAATGAATGCCTGCAAGCATATCTAAAAATCTGCTGCCGGACCTCCCTTAGTTATTCTCTGGAATGGTTGTGCCTCAATAAAAACCATCGAATCCAATGTCCACTCGATATGTGCATTCGAGCGAGGGGGCAAAATGGAAATCGGTTACATAACAAACAAATGCATTCATATTTTTCTAACTAAAATCAAATTTTCGTCGCGTCGGTGTGCATCGGATCAATTCACAGTAAACATTCGTTTGGTCTTCGAAATCCAACGTTTTTTTCTTTTTTTCGAACGAAAAATATTATTGAATCAGTAATATGGTTATTTATTAGCTTGATGCCTTACTTAAAGGAAACAAGTGCCACACAACCCAATAATCGTCCATGGTCATTTATTTCCAGTTTTATTTATTTGTTTTTCCGCAAAAAGGTAAAACCCGAAATTTGCATGTAGCTCAAATGCATGAAATGTTGAGTTGCCTTGTCTTCGTCAATAGTAATAATAATAATCGACGTAGGTCCGCATATACACGCGAAAATACATTTTGATGAGACAGATGCCAACGAATGCCACTTGAAATCCCTTGAAAAGTCGCGCTATCGTTGCTCGGCAAGTCATTCTAGCAGCCATCGATTAGTCCTTTTGATCGGTCGGCAGCCGAAGAGAAGGCAAGCGAGAGAGCAGCGGCACGGCAGCTCTCGGAAAATGAAAAGCTCGCGGCTGGCACTGGCGCGCGGGGCAGCGGAGCAGCGGGGCGAAAATATGGGTGACCCAGATAAAGCGGCGCGCGCGTCTGGCACCCCCATACCAGCTGCGAGAGCATCGGCTGCGCTGGCCGCTTCTCCGCGGAAGCCACGCAGACGATGCGGCGACGGTCGAGCCCAGCGCTCGGGGCGCCCAGCTCGCGACGCAACGCGGCTGCGGACGAGCGAGACGACGAGGTGCGAGGTCGCGACGTGGGAAGGGTAGCGCCGGCACGAGGAAAAGTAGATTAGGCTGACTGGTGCTGCGCGCGGCGGCGGGTGGCGGCGGGCGGCGGGCGGCGGCGGGCGGCGCGATCTATCGATTGTCGCCACTCGGCCGTCGGTCGGGGGGCGCCGGCGTGTGCCGCTGCTCGGCGCTCGCTCGCGTTTATTATCGTGCGCCAAGTCAGTAGCCGCAGTTGCGCGCTCGCCGCCACAGGCATCGCACCGTCGCCGGCGCCCTCGCTCTCCGCCCCCCTCCTCTCTTTCGCTCTCTCTCACTCACTCTCTCTCTCACACTCTCTTCCCCGCGACACACACGCACGTACAGTTGGCTCTCCGCGGCGCACGGACTCTTTCTCTCCCGTCACGACGATTTGCGCGAGTGTGCTTGTGTGCCGACATGGAGCAGAGGAGGCCCTCCTAGCAGGCGACCCGCGGGCCAAGAGGACGATCGGAAGAAGGCCAGCAGCGGCGAGTGTCGTCGAGTGAGCACTGTGTTCGCGTTCGCAGAACTAGCAGCAGTCGAAAGTCGGGCCAACGAGTGCGAGGGAAAATGAATGTGCAAGCGAGTGCCCCCGCGACGAGGAACCAGTTCGGCCTGCGCCCGATGCCCAAGTCGCGTCTAAAGCTCCGTCGTCAGGTGTTTAGGCGTCGCGATCAGCTGTGAATCGGCCGACAGCAGTAACGGCGGCGACGGCGGCGGCGGCAGCAGCAGCAGCAGCAGCAGCAGCAGCAGCAGCGCACCACCACCAATACCACAGCTCGTTCATTGGCTGGCCGATCGATCGCTCTCGGGCAGCAGCCTCTTCTGCCGCCTCTCCCTCTCCGCGTGCGGCGCGCGCTCGCCTCGCGCCCCGTGCTCGTCGCCCGTTTGTTGACGTGCAGTGTCGATGCTCCGCGAGGCGTAGGCATGTACTGCTTCCAGAATCCGTTCTCGCGCGCGACGCGCAGCGTCGTCAGCAATCCCCTCGGCGGTAAATGTTCCGAGTCGAGCAACAAGCAGCAGTCGCAGGCGTCGCAGGCGTCGCAGCAGCAGCAGCAGCAGCGACGCGCGTCCGAGGCGACGAGCGAGGGCTCCGGCTCGTCGTCCATCCGCTACATCGACCAGCTGTCCGGCGCGAGCAGCACCGACACGCTGCCGGGCGTCCGCAGTGACTACCTGGACCACGAGCTGCTCTCGCCGGGCCTCGCCTCGCCCACGATCGTGTTCACCAGCGACGAAAGGACGAGCACGACCATCACCACGACCGCGCCGTCGCTGGACCTCGACGAGCCGGACGCGCCCCGGGACGAACCCAGCCCGCGGGCGACGGCCCCGGACGGCGGCGGCGCCAGCAGGTCGGCCGGGCGCTGGCGGCGCAAGCTCCTCCTGCGGCTCCGCTCCAGCGACTCGTCCAACTCGAGCAACGGCGACGCGGCCAGCTCGGCCTCCGCCTCGCCCTCGCCCGCCAGCGACTCGTCCTGCTCGCGCAACCTGCAGGCGGCGACCGGTGGGCTCCAGGCGGTGCCGAGCGCCAACTCGCTGTCGCCGAAGCGCGCGCTCGTGCGCCACCGCTCCGCCGGCTCGACGAGCATGCTACTGCGCGGCCTCGAGGGCGGCTTCAGCGACGAAGACGACGACGACGACGACGACGACGACGACGACGAGGAGGGGGACAGCAGCACGTGCGCGCTCGAGCCCGAGACCGAGCCCGAGGACGCCTCCTCGATGCCGTCCAGCCCTGCGGCCCCGGCCACCGTGGGCCTGGCCAGCGCCTCGGGCGGCCCGGTGCCGTACTACGGCTTCCTCTCGGTCGGCAGCGGCGGCGGCGGCGGCCTCGCGCGCCAGGAGAGCACCAGCACGAGCTCGCCGCAGCTGTCCACGCAGCTGCACGAGCGCGGCTCGCCCGTGCTCGAGCTCGGGCCCGGCGCGCTCAAGGAGGACAAGCGCGCCGGCAGCAACGAGACCGTCTGCGCCAAGGCGCACCTCAAGCCCGAGGCGGGCAGCCTCGAGGCGGCCGGCTGCCTGCCGGTGGCGCGCTCCTGCCCGAACCTCGAGCGCCAGAGCGCGGGCTGCTCGAGCGCGAGCGGCTCCTCGAGCCCCAGCCCCTCGCCGGGCCCCGCGGGCCCGCGCTTCAAGCCCATCGAGGAGGGCGACATCCAGGTCTGCTACCTCAACCACACCAGGACCCTCGTCAGCAAGATACTCTCCAGCAGGTTCCTGCGCCGCTGGGAGACGCACCACCTCTACCTCAACGACGCCTGCCTCTCCTCCAAGACCGTGAGTACGCTACCTACCGCTCCGCTTCCCCCCCCCCCCCGCCGACGCGTCTCGCCCGCTCTTCTCGCGCTATCTCGTCCATCGATCCGCTTGGCCGACCGCTCCGTGCGCCTCGCCGCACTCGTCGGCTGATCGACGCCGCGCGAGTCAGCCCTTTCGCCCTCCCGCCCTCTCGCCCTCTCGTCCGCGCTCTCGCGGCGACTGTCGCTTGCGTGGGCGGCGCCGCTCACAAATACCATTTCCACCGAGCACTTATTAATGGGATCGCTTAATAGCCGCGATGAAGAAAAACCAGTCGGCGGCGCCTTACGTCTCCGTCAATACACCTCTGGCGCGCCGATCCGCTTTGCCGACGACGCACGAACAGTGGCTCGCTCTCGGCCGACCGAGAGGCTGTCCGTCGCTTTTGTTCCGGTGTCGTAGCGCACGCCGCGCGCTCTGCGTCCCACCGGCGCGACGGGCCGGCGAAACCGAGCTCGCCGTCCCACGCACGCGCGAGCCCGGCCTGACGGCGGTGGACGACGCGCTTCCACCGAGCGTCGCATGTGCCGAATCGAAGCTCGAGCCGATTCGCGTTGAACCGCTCGTCGATCGGGCTGATCGTTTGAGTCGTGTGCCGTCACGAGGCTCGCGGCGCGTGCACATCGATCTCGCTATTTTGGTCGCCGGAGCTCGTCAAAATAGACGACGCGTCGCCGAGAATACAGCCGTTCAACGTACGTACCTTCGTCTGGTCATAGCTGAAGCGCGAGGCGGGGTAAAGAAAGCCGCGGATATGCACGAGAGTCGAGGGTTGCTGCTCGCGTTTAGGTTTTCATATTCATTCGGAGCACGCCGAGCAGCGGAGTCTATTTGGCTTGGGAGGGGGGTGGGGGGGGACTCGACGCCAAACAGACCAGCTCCTCTCGTCTTGCTCCTGTGGCGGAACAATTTCACGTCGATAATCCATCTGCCGACAGCGGGGCAGTGGCAGCGGTTTGAGGGAGCATAAAAATTGGCCGTTCGACGTCGTCGCGCGGTCGGCTCTTACTCGCTCTTTACGCGTTCGCCCGTGGTATTGAGCGATATATATATCACTCTGTCTCTTTTTCCCCGGCATAGATTGATCATCCCGCCACGACGACGAAGGGGCGAGGTGTCTTAAGTATTCATTACGCGTTACGCGCGCGAGGATCGACCTTTGAATTGGTTCTGTTGTTGCGCCGCTGCAACATTGTTTAATTGCTTTGCCGAATGGCGTCATTTATCTCTCGCTCTGCTTCTCTTTGGCGCGAGGCACGAGGTGGGCATTTCTTCAATTATCAGCGCACCAGATAACACCGACTCGTTATGAAACAATCCCGTTTCTCATATTCCAACTCCCGATTGTTCTGTCGTCCGGGGATCTTGTGTAATTGGTGAAATTTTTCACCCACGGACACGGACAGGTGGCTAAAAAGGCTCCGGCGTTGATCGACTGGCTGCGCTAAATCTTTTCTCCTCGGCTCGCTGGAAAATAAAGAGACGTAATAAAGCGTTCTTGGGGGCGAGAGAAAGATCCCTCGCGCGCGGTTCCTAGGCGGCACGCCGGCTAAACAAATGAGCTCTACTTTGGCGGTCTGCGCGTCGGATTTTTTCGTTGTTGCTTTTCAGCGCAAGCCTCCGAGGCTTTCGGCCGAGAAATAATGGGTCGGGCGAGCGGCTGCGCGAGCAAGCCCCTCGGAGTCACACTGCGTCACGGCGATCCGGCGATCGGGAGGGAAAAGGTCGATCGTTTCCACGCTTGCACAATCAGCACGATCGATAGCTCGCTGCCCGAGGAGCGCGCGCGAGAGCCCAATGAAAAGAGCGCAGCCGTCGGGGGACAGTGCCCGAGAAAAAGACAATCGGTCAAGCGTTCAAAAATAAGCCGCCGCGGCGCGAGGACGAGACGAACAAAAATTCAGCGATTTATCACCTCTCGCTGGCCGCGCCTATTTCGGGAAGCTTTTCTCGAGGCGCCCGGCCTTTGTCGATAACAAGAAAAAACACGTACGCGCGGCGTTCGTATTTTCACAATTGCACTCTCGCGGCTCGCTCGTTCCAGCGAAGCTTGCACTTGCGTCGACAATGAGAATTGAAAGGTGACAACGGCGACAGAAAGGAAAACAGCAACCGCAATACTCGCCAAGATTCATTAAAGTATAAGGTGGTGAAGAGGAGGGGCGCACGAAATCTCGGACCGACTATTCTCTGTTGCTTTTTAAAAAGGCTTCCCAAAGACAATCGCAAAAAAAGAAAAAAACAACAAAAAACGAAATTGACGATACACGATTTACTGGTTTTCAGCCAATTGCACTCTCTTCCTCTCTTTGTTATTTTTCTCTCGGCCGTGTGTGACCTCCTTACCTCTCTGTCAAAATCTCGCTGTTTGCTCCGTGGCAACGCAATCTTGCAGATCCGCGTTGCGTTCGAATAACAGCCACGCGGAGAGAGAAAGAGAGAGAGAGAGAGAGAGAGAGATAAGGGGCCGAAAATAGAGCTTTTCCTCGATCCATTTTTTTTTCTCTTTCGTTCCACACGTCTCTCTCGCGTGCTCGTTGCCAAATGATAATGAGCACGAGTTCCTTGACTCGATCGCGGTCTGCGCAGATATTTTCTTTTGCGTTTCTTCGGCTCGCGCGTCGCATGGTGAACCGCCAAGCCGCGCGCATTCACCACAGGTAGCTCTATTTTGCGGTTCTTATAGAAGGGGATAACGTGCCGGCGCAGCGGCGCAGCGGCGCAGCGCACAAGGTATGGCGTATCATGATTATTTAAGCGTCAACTTGAAAACTAACTTGATATTGCGTTTGCTTCTTGGTTTGTCGTGCAATTTCTCTCGGCAGCCTTTGACGCGAGTCTCGTTACGCTACGCACTTCTCTCTCTCTCTCTCTCTCTCTCTCTCTCTCTCTCTCTCTCTCTCTCTCTCTCCGTCATATTTTAACGGGAAAAACGTTGATAGGTTTCCAATAGAAATGCTCTCGCGCAAAGGCTTCGTCGTGACGTCGTGATATCGGAGCGAAACCTTCAGTTTTGCGCGCAGGCGAAAACAGCCAAGTCACGAGCGAAGGCCCATTAGCTCTGCTTCGCCGCTCCGCCCGCCCTCGTCCCTCTGAAAAAGCGGCACTCGCTTTCGTTGGCGTCGCGGCCATAAATTTCTCGCGGTTCGCGTAGCATTTCGCACGACGAGCGAGCGCACCGCGTGATATTTATCGGATCGACGCTCGAAATAACTCGGTGCGCATGCGAGAGGCCGAATCGTTAAATGATTTTCCAATCGCGCGCAGCGTTTGCGCACTCGGGCAGCGCGGGATAAAGGGTACTGTGCGTAGACAGCGCCGGCACACCCGCTAAAAAACAGCCACTTATCTCTCGAGCAACGTCACTCTTTCTCTCCTCCGAGCTCGTCTAAGGCGCAGATTAGATTCCGCCGTATCGTTCGACGCACACTGTCGCAGCCTGCTGATCATCCGCGCGGAATTTCCCCCCGGTCCCTCTCTTCTTCCGTTCCGCGAAATCGCGGGTAGAGAAAAAACTTTATTGCGCTTACGTGCCTCCTCTCGCGTATTGCTCGTCGATTTTTCCTTCCTCTTTTTCTTTTTCTGCCTTTCTTTCGGCTGAATAAAAAATGACGAACGTGCGCGCGGCCGAGCGGATCCTCCGTCGCTTTACATTCGCAGGCGGAACAGGGTCAATGACGGCGGAGGGGAGAAAAAAGAAGGAGAGCGCGGCGTTAGAAAGTTGCGCGACGAAGGTGAGCGGACGTGCTCGCGATGAAGCGCGCGGCGAAACTTCCGTCCCGGCTCGGTAAACTGTGGCACTCTCGGCGCGGCGAGCTCGTAGCGAGGCTAATGGAAACGAGCTGTCGACCACCAGCGGCGATAGCTCTCGGTCGCGTCTTCCTCTCCGATTTGTCCGCTTCTTTCGCGCGATCAAGCCTCTTGCCCCGACAAGCTCCAAAGCCGCGTTGCTCGGTCCGCGAGGAGGAAAACTTGGATGTTCGACTTTGAGGCAAGTTCAAAGGACGTCACCGCTCTTCGGAGCGTGCCTCGCCGGCGAGAACGAGACAAAAAAGGAAGAACCGCCTCGAGTAATAGAGATTCACGGCAGGTGTGAGTCGCGGCGCTCTCGAGTTTCGGCGTGTCGAGTGCGTGCCGTCGTCTCGGTCTCTCCCTCCGCGCGCGAGTAGAGCGCACGGTGTCTTGACGTCAACGCTGACCCTGGTTACGTGTGCGCTCTCGCTTAGCGGTGCTCTCGAGCCTCGGTTCTCGTGCACGTCCCGAGCGGGCGTCCGTTCCGTCGGCACCGCGCGCCACGCGCCAGACGCGTAAAACGCGATTAAGCGCACTGCGTCTTCTCTACCGGCAGCGCGCCGCCGACTGCGACTTCGTTTCTCTTACGGTATTTTTGCGCGAGCGAGCGGAGAAAGTGACGTCAAGCCAGACACCGCGATGAGTCTCGCAAGTCTTTCCGTGAGTCATTGTTCGCGACGGGCGATTAATTTGGTGGCCCCGCGCAAGTGCCGCCGCGCGTCCAACGGATTCGCGGAGAAAGCGATTGCCGTACGCACGGCAAATGTATATCTCCGCGGCGTGGATCGATCCGATTAGCCGGCGGCTGGAGGTGCGCGAGCGAGCGCGCCAGATCGGTGACGAACGCACTTGTCAATTGATTAAGCAGCGGCAACGTCACTGCGCCACTTCACACCTCGTTTAATCGCTCTTTCTCTCTCTCTCTCTCTCTCTCTTTACCATCGGTAAATAAAAGGTTGCGTTCAATCAATCAAGCTCTTTCTCTGTCTAGCTCGGCACATTCTTATTGGGAGCGAGCTCGCTTTCGACTTGATTCTCAGTACAAGGAATAATAGATCTCGGAGGTGTAACGTCTCAATTTAGAGCCCACCTGAAGGCTCGCTCGCAAATGAATCATCATCGTCGGTATAACATATTTATATAGATAGATATACACGCGCGCGCGTACGCTGCCTATGGCCCCGTTG